TTGTCAACCCATGATTCTATAAATATTACTTTATTGTTTTTACAATATATCTCTTTTATTTCACATTCTTTTCTTCTTAAACCATTTCTATTATGAATGTTTATTTAATATACTTTATGGAACTCGAGTAAAATTTATCATTAATTATATATCTCTTCCTCAAGGCCACAGTTTACCTAATGGACTATACTACACAAAAACACAAGATACACATAATTAGATAAAGAATATATATTAAGCATGCGTTCCTTTAACAAAGTTCTATCTATATAATGTTAGAAAGTAGTGTTAAAACACACCATGGTTTTATAGAACCACAATCCCATTCCACTTTCTCCCCTTTCCCAAGGTTACCTATGCACATCTCCTACTTCCAAAAACATTTAGAGGAGTCACTCCTTCACCATGGCCCTTAAGGACACATCCCCGCATACCTTTTTAGGTCAACTGAAACTAAGACATATAATACCTTCTTTATACTTGCATTCACACTAGTAACATTAACCTTAATTTTATACCATTGACACATCATCCCTCTTACCCAATTGTATGCAAGTGTCATAAAAACTTCATCAAACATGACTTGATCATTTCCAATTCCAATTAGTCTATCCTCAAACATAGCTATATTAAAACTTATCATGGCATTTAGGAGTGTTCAACAATGAAGAAAGTTGACTATTTCCCAAACGTGGCCTCTTAGTGCTCTTTTTTCTTTCCACACTATAACCAAATGCACAAACTACTTGTTCTTCACAGTAGTCTATCCTGTTGACCTATGTACCTATTATATGTCACAAGCCTAAACTCAAAATGAAACTTGGTTGTTCTTCCCTCTAATAGTTACCCACATACAATCGATGACCTCTATGAAGATATTAGATGGAAATAAGAACTTCTTGGTGTAGGTGGCACTACCATAGACATCCATAACTGCTCTTATTGTTTGGAACATATCAGCCACCATTGATGGGAAGCTAATCTTATCACTCCAATAGGACTTTATTAAGTGTATGTTATGCACAAACATTGATAGCTATCAGAGCAATCTAACAGCATTATAGCCTTGTCATCAAGTAGCCTTCATAAAGAAAATAAACAATTTCAATTTGGAGACAAGGCAGAATGGAGACAAACATAGATCCCAAACCCCAAACTCTATTCTCCAACCTAATTAGTGGTAGGTACTTTGTTAACGCCTCAAACAAAACCTCTGCAGTGGCATTACTTACAAAGTAGGCTGTATTATCATTTTGGGGAAAGAATCTAGCCATAATCAACCTTTCAACTTGCATGAGAACCACACTTTCTTCAGCACAAATTAATGTAAAAGAGCTATAGATTTATAAATTTGTTGATCCCTAACTATATGTTAGTTATTGAAACTATAAAAAAAAAAAAAAGGAAAAAATTTTCAAAAAACAAAGACTCCATAGCTAATCTAAGTTGAGCCTTATCTTTCTCACCATAAACTACAATAGATTAGCCAATTTCCCTCCAGCCCACAATTAACCCATTTTCCCCAAATTCTTAAATCTTACCTAAAACCAAAATTGCAAGAATAAGTCCTTCATGGCTTGGGTTCGACACATCACCTTTGGGGCCATTTTCCATTCGGCCGAAAACTTCCATCGGGTCTTTTACATGAAAACCATTTCAATTAGCATTCTCACGCTTAGTTGGGGCTATGAATTGAGAATTGAGATTTTAATGATCCTATTATTGAGTTTAAGGAGGTTCATGTTTCCTGCAAATAAGGATATCTACTCTGTGGGGGAGGAAGAGAGTTTTGTTAAATCTAGTTTCAATTATCTTAACCTCCTTTCATTATTTTTAAGTGGAAAACCCCCTTCCTCTTTATAGACATAAATATGTCCCTGCTCCCAATCCATGTTATGCATTTGTTAAATCTAATCCATTTCCCAACTATAACTTATATTATATCATGTCACCTTTTGGTTAAAAATAAAGCTGGGGTTTTTCATGCATGTGTTATTTCTTTATTAAGTCTCCATCTTCTATTTTTTAGAAAATTTCCCTTGCTTTTTAAATTGACATTACTTAAAAAAAAAAAAAACATTTCAGCTTTATTTCATAATGTTTTTTAGTGCTTTAACTTTTGGTTTTTATATATTTTTACTATTACAAAATTATAGAAAATATGAATCAAAATATTTACACTCTCCATTCCTTTTTAGTTGACCTAGTTTTTTTTTTTTCCAATGAAATAAAAATGTAATAATTTATACAAAAAAATTATCATAAGTATCCTTAATTAAATACCATTTAAATATGACTGGTTATTTAATATAGTTTGTATTTATCTGTTAAAATGAAGGTAAAATATAAATAAATGCATTAAATGACATCTTACATAGGAAACATGAACAATTAAAATTAAATACCTCAAATTGGAAAACTAGATATACTAAGGCAAAATAGAGGGAGTATTAAATATGTTAACCTTTTTATTTATTTTTAACATGTTAAAAGACCAAAACACAATTAGATGTAGCCAGAAGTCATTATGTCCAATCTAAGCTTTGATTTTTGAATTTCAACTTCCCTTTTAAGTAATTTTCCTCACAAAAGTCATACATTCCACTCTTTTCTTAATTTTTAGTTTCAACTACAAAAATGCACTATATCAAATACTTTCAATCCAGTCTTTTCTTACACGCTAGCATTCTAAACCCTCACCATATAGTGAGTTAATTGATGCTTTAAACTCTACCACCTATGGGATATATTTGACACAACCATTTATAGTTACTTTAAGTCTTCTACTGCAAATGATCATGATGCAATCCATCTTCTTTGCTATTAGCTCCCACCATGATGTCAAAGGCCAAAACCATTGCATAATGCGTAAAAGGTTTCAACAAGCATGCAACTAGTTCTAACCACTCATTGTGCTCCATCCCCAGTAACTATTACAATAAGACTACTTCCAATTTGATTGCAATTGTGTGAATGATCAGCAAATAATGCAGAAAAGAAAGTAAATGAGCAATACACACATGTAGTGAGGGCCTTAAAATGAACAAATAAGGGAATTGAGGATGAATTATGTTCATGAAAAGTACTTCATCGCAAATGTCCCAAGGACAACTACTTAGTACCCAACTAAGTCTATAGTTGCAATGGCATGAAGTATCTCTTCAATTATCATTTCTTGAATTTCAGATGGGAGAGAAAGGATAATGGAATCTATTTCATCATTCTTTGATGAGGTAGAAGGTACTTTCAAAGACATGGTGCATACATGATTGCATTTTCCTACATAGCTCATTTCTTTGTTGGGAAATATAAAGCCTATAGAGTAATTAAGGTTTCACCAAGTTATCTTTCTTATTGTGGATCTTTTTATCTAGTTGACTTGTCCCAAAACATTTACTAACCCCTCATAATATTTCAATGATGTTAAATTAGTCCCATATTCGAATTCATTTAGCTTTTAAGGCTGTGTAGCCATAACTTTATTGTTGACCTTAACCTCTGGCTGTTCCTTGAAGTGTTTTGTCATCATGCATGGACAAGGCAAACTTTATTCAATTAAAAGCTTGTACTTTAATCTACAGAATGGAAGACATGCTTCTTTCAATTCCAAAAATAACTACTTTGTAGTTCGCTATATTTGTAATTGTTACATTTTGTAAGGAAAGAGTGTAATTGCTACCTAAGAAAATTTATATGTATAATCTACATAAAAAAACTTTTAATCTAATGCTCAATTTTTCAAAATATTAATTAGAAGTTGGGTTTTTAAATATGTCATCTAAGAAATTATTTTAGTGATAGCCTGTTCACTATTTAGGGGAAATGTGATTTACAGGTCATCCTCCCAATTTTTTTTTAGAGAACATGACTAACAACTAATGTTTGATTCATATTTTTAAAAACAAACCATTGAATTAGAAGATCTATGTATGATCATGCATATAAATTTTCATGTTGATCTAGTAGGCTAAACCAATTTATTAACTACAATAAATTAAACACCATTAAATATATATCAATAAATAGAGTTTTTTTTTATCAAAAGATTATAAGTATTAGATCAATATAACAATTGATATACATGATCTACATGAATAAAAATTTTAATCCAACAGTTGATTTTTTTAAAATATTAATTAGAAGGTAAATTTTAGAAATATGTCCTCCAAAATAGAATTTTAATTAAACAATATATATAGCAAAACATTTCATGTAACTAACTTTCCTATTTCTTATTCCCTCCTCAATTTGTTACAATTTAAAATTAAATGAATTAATTATAGGTCAATAACATAAGATATTGCATAAATATGTGCTCTTCTAACTTGTGCCCTAAAAATACATTTTTGTCAAAATTTTATATTGAAAAATGTAAAAGTTGATAATAATTTTAGTGTCATTATCACATGGATAAATTTAATTAAAAAATTGATATATATATATATATTAAATATCACTTTATAATTTGGTCAAGGCTACTAAGCTATATTCTATACCCACAGTTTAGAAAAATCCAATAAATACAATTGTTTCACAAGTATGGTATCTCTATTGACAAATAATTAAACTATAACTAACCATATCAAATTTACAAGTATGATATGAACTATTTTACAATTAAAATATATTAACCAAGTCTTTTTTTTTTCACTTCATTCCCTAATTAGTTAAAATATTATTTTAGTTGCTAATGGATGTTATTGCATTGATTTTCCTAATTGTCTTAATTTAATAAATAGTATATTAACTATTAGCCTTTTTTCATTTTAGTGTATAATTTGTTTTTTTTCAAAGTCATCTATTAACTTTCAAATTTGTTTCAATTTTGTCTAGTCCAACACAATTCCATTAATTGAATTGATAGAATTTCACATTTTTAATTGTTTAGCACCACATAAGTTACAATATAAGTTAACACGTGACTTGAAATGGGAGGAAATTTTTCCATTGTTTCTTTAGGGGTAAATCTTAATATAAAAAATTACATTAGATGGTGCAAATTTTTGAAAAAGCTTGCTTTATATGGTGAAAATTTTTAAAACAAATTTGCCTTCCTTTTTAGGTCACATGGCTACTTACATGGTGACACATTGTAATATCACAAAATTTTATGGAACATTAAAGTGTGCGTAGGGACCTAATTGTGAGGAAGTATTATTAATGAACTTAATAGTAATTTTTTTAAAGTTCAGGGACTTAAAAGAGGAAAATTTCTGGATAAGGATCAAGCTTAGATTTTTTTTTCTTTTCTTCCTCATCACACGCGTGTCTGCTCTATCCTTCTTCTCCTCTACCTCCCGAAAGCTTCCCCCAAAGCCGCTGAAGCTTCCCCCTTGAGAACCGGTAAAGAGCTTGAGTTTTCCCTTTCCTTTCTTGATGGAGAACAAGATTTAAACCCAGAAATTTCCTCCCAGCCACTGGCACGTTCTGCTCTTCTTCTTCCTCGCCCCTGCAACTCGAAAAAGAAGCCAGCCGCTGGCGGCATCTCCCCTGAGAAAACCGGTAAAGCTTGGTGATTTTTCTCTTCCTTCTTGTTCAAGAACAAGCTTTAGGATTTAGAACCTTCCCTCTGAAGCCAAAAAATTCAGATCTGTGGTTGCTTCTTCTTCCTCTGCCGCGAGTTGCTGCTGGGTGGTTTGGGAGTTCGGTTTTGGTAAGAAATAGCTAAGAAATCATCTTTTTAGCCTTGATTTGGCTTGGGTTACTCTAATTTCTGTTTTGGTTCTTGAATTTGTGGTAGCCCGTGTGTTCCTCCAAATTTTTCCCCGTCGACTTCCTCACCAGCCAAGCCCGGTTTCTACTGCTGGAAAATTCTGGTATGGACAGCCCTTTTAAGTCCGAATTTATCAATTAATTGTTGTCCATTTAGTTGCTCTGTGTTGTCCGAGATCCTGTTGGAATTATGGGATAATTGTGGGTAGCATAAAACGTGTTTTAAGCTTGGTTTAGGTAGGAAATTGCTTGATTTGCTGCCGTGGGGTTCTATATGAAAAATCCGTGTGTGAGTTGCAGTTTTGTCAAGCCATGTTCCCCATTTTTCTGTCCGTGGGAATTAGAAGCTATATATATGTGTGTGTTGTGTATATTTAAATCAATAATTGAAATGCAAGCCTTGTTTTCCATTTTTGTGTCCGTGGGATTTGGGGAAATTTGGTAGAGGTGTTTCGTAGTGAACTTGGCTAAAATGTTCACTGAAGATAGTTTAAAATTTGGAGAGAAATGGTATCCGTATGATTAAGATTTAAAGCAGAGTTTTATTTTAAGTTGTGTATAAAGACTCGGGATTTCTGGAATTGAAACTCATGACTGAATACTAGAGTAAAAATGTAATTCCAGTAGTTTATTGGGTGGAGATTGGGAAAATACGTGTGTGTTGTGTACATATATATATATATATATGCACAATCTGACCTTAGAATATATTTATCTGGAATAGTAGGTGCTGTGTGGCTTAGAGCTCTGGGGTCGAGTTCCCAGTTTTATGCGAGTGAGGTAAGTAACTTATGGTAATGCCCTGGATTTAAGGTAAAGCTTTTAAAAGCAAATTTCTGATGGTTTTGAAATGGTGGCAGGACTAAACCCATTTTACACGAGCATGATTGATTTGAAGTGAAATTTTTATGCTTTCATTAAATTGAGCATGCCTACTTGGAATTTAATCGACTGTCCTGATGATCTGAAAGTGATTGTGAATTGTGATTTTCCTGTTAACTTCTGCCTGTTTTGTCTCCGATATGGTCATGTTATTTGTGATATGGTCATGTTATTTGTGTGCCCGCTAGTGGGAGGTTTATAAACGCTAGCACATGTCGACATGATACTAATAGAACCGGTTCGTTCGTGTTATCTTGCTAGTGGGATTATACACTAGTAAATCATGTGCCTACTAGTGGGAGGTTTATAACACTGACCATAACTTATAGAGGAGACGTCTATTTCGTTCTCGTACTGTATCCGTTTTTCATGATTATATTTGTTGGCATGCTATGAGTTTAATTACGGGCTATCCATATGTTACTTATTGAGTTATCTCATCTCGTTTTTCCTTGCCCACCATTTTAGGTAGTGTGACTTGGGACACGGAAATCAAGGGGAGTGACGTGGTAGAAGGCTAGCCACTTGAGATTTGACATAGATTCTAGATATATATACCATGCTCTTGTAAGTTAGATTTTAATTGGAAATTTTATGGTATCAAAACTGATTTTGTTGAGTAAGTTCCGAGCCTTGTGCACTTGTGGAACCCATCTCACAAGTGTATAGTGTTTGTTGCGCCCTCGGATTTGGGTTTTGGGGTGTGACACATAATAAAAAATGTGAAATTCACTTACCAAAACTAACCTGGTTGTGTTTAACTACACTAAATCAAAATAATTTTAAAAGTTAATAAATGATATAAAAAAGAATAAAGATTCTAAAAAAGATCAATAGTTGATCGATGATTTATCAAACGAAGCTGTTTTCTTAACTTTAATTATGCAAACAAGGGACTTCATATTTGGGATATTGTATACAAGACTAGATAGTGTTGAGATGTAATCACTACTAGAAAATTCCCTATTTCAGACCAACTTTTTTGGTTAGGCAAAATTCTTGACCGAAATAATGACCATTTTAGGCATATTTATTGATTGAAATTACCTTTTGTCCATATAAAACCTAATTCTTTGATTAATTCTGTTAAAAACTAATTCAATCATGGAGTTTGACAAAAATGTAATGGTGGGAATTGGGGCCATAAGTTGTTCAATCAAGAATATTGATAGAAACCATTGCCATCCTTATTCAATCAAGTAGATTGACCAAAACAATGGCCAACAAATTCAACCAAGTTTTGCTTGATATAATATATTTACTTTGGTCAAATTCTTAATTGAAATAGACCAACTAAATTGATTTGATGGGAGTAGGTTTTCTTTGCAAGTTATCTTCACATTTCGATTAAGTAGTATGATCGAAATACTAGTCTGCACTGATTAGACTCTTACTAACCAGATTTTGTAAACCTATTTCGGTCAGATTCATGATCGAAATGTAACCTGGAAGTCATTTGATGGCAATAGGTGGCTGGTTCGGCTTTTTCAAATTGTTTCGATCAGTGGGCTTGACCGAATTAGAGTGCAGTGCAGCTGTTCACAACTTTTGGTCAGTATTTTTGTCCGAAATGTAAGTGCTGCAACTGATTAATATATGCAAATATGAGTCCCACCATCTTTTCCACTATTTGTGATGAGGTGGGATATAGCGTTTTTCCCCCTTTTTTTTTTGGCTTTTTCTCACTTTCAAACTTCTACCAATGTTGTCTCCATTCTCAATTGTGTCCCAATCTGCTGTGCTATTTGATTCATTAGTATGTACTTAAGTTTTTTTTTTTTTTTTTTTATGTTATGTTTTATTTTATTTATATAATTATTATTTATCTAAAAATACTACTTTTTATGTGAATTTGTTGATATATTATTTTACTTTTCATAAATTAACTAGTATAATTTACATTTTTATTTTTATGTTTTTTTATCTGTCTCAATTCATTAATTTTTTCTTGTAGGTCCATCCATCTTATTCAAAAGTTCACTTTGATTCACCAAAATTGAAAGTCTCCATTATTATAAGTATGTTCTAATTTTTTGCTAAATTTTAATTTTGAAATTGTTTATGAAAAAATTATAATATTAATTAAGTGATTGGTAAATTATAATTATATTGATTAATTGGTTGATTGATAAATTATTATTATTTTAATTAATTGATTTATAAATTATGATTATTTTGATTAATTAATTAGTAAATTATGATTAGATTATTTAATTAATTAATAAATTATGATTATTTTGATTAATGAGTATTATAAATTATACCCATATTGATTAGTTATTGATTAGTAAATTATGATTATATCATTTAATTGTTTAGTAAATTATGTTTATATCGATTAATTAATTGATTAGTAAGTTATGATAACTCTAATTAATTATATTAATTTTTAATTTTAGTTTATGAAATATGTTTAACAATTTATTAAATTTGATGTATTATTATTTGTGTGGGGATATGAATTTTTTAATATAAATTTAAGGAAATATTTCACATGATAAGGGTGACACTATTGCCACACCCAAATTTGTTAATGCCACAACATTAATCTCTTTGTGTAGGTTATTTTACCCCTTACAATTACTATAACCTATTAAAATTATATTAATAATAAAAAATTAAATTTAAATTATCAAATAACAAAAAAGAGATCTGAGTAAATTAAACAAAAAGAAATTGAGTCCATCGATCTTCTTCTTCCCAAATACTCAATTACAATTCCTCAAGGGGCGAACTTCAAATTTTGTTCTTCATTTCTTCAATTAAATATTATATAGAATCTCATTCATTTCCTTTAATTCTATAATTAGTTTCAAAGGTTTCTTTTATATCATTTAACATTCAATCAAAGATTTTATTTTCAATTGTCAAAAAGGATTTGCCATCTTACAAGATCTAAGAAGAGGAACTGAAAATAGTTTTTCTTTTTCTTTTCCTTCATCATCCAGTGCTTCAAAACACAAAATTAGCAAATTGAAGTGGTGAGACGCGATGAGGCTAGGTTTTGATGAAAAAGATGATGAATATGGTGAAACTTGATGAAATAGAAGCAAATGATGAGTAGAAAAACTAGATCTAGGAAGACAGTGCTAAAATTGAGAGGAAATATAACTAAATTAGAGACCAACAGCACCAAAAAAAAAAAAAAAAGGCCAAATTCCAGGTCAAAATAAAAGCAATTGGCCATAAAGAAAGGAAAAGGGCAACCGGGCAAAAGGATATTTACAATAGAGGCAAAGAGTGAAACAAATGGAGATTAAGAGAGGAAGAAACAACATGGCCCAAGAAACAAGAGGGAGACGCACCATGACGTGGACTCCATTCAACTTTAGTTTTTTTTTTTTTTTTAGAGATTTCTAAATGAAACAACGATTTTATTATTTTTAGGTGGCATAAATTATAGAGGGTAAAATAGTCTATGTGACAAATTATAGAGGGTAAAATAAGCTATGGCATTAACAAGTTTAGGTGTGGCAATAGCCACAACCCATGATGTGAGATCAAGGTTGGATGTATCATCGTTTAGATGATAATGGCTGTTTTATCGATGAATTAAAAAATGGTGTGGAGTCTTTTCTGGATTATGCATTTTCTCAGTTCAATCTAGAATTTTGTAGTAGAAATCAAATTAGGTGTCTGTTCACTAAATGTATGAACCAAAAATGACATCGTCATGTTATTATGCTATGTCATTTGACAAAAAAAGGTTTTATGAATGGGTATATAGTCTAGCTTGCATACGGAAAGCAACCAATGCGAAAGCGACAAAGTCATCAATGGGGGGAATCCTCTAATGCAGCTCCCTTTGTGATGGAAGAACCAGGTAATGATCTAATTAGAGTGATGGTTATAAATGCAATGAATTCACGTGGTATAGAATATAATATGAATGAACAAGCCAATGAAGAGCTAATTTTTGAGGAGGCAATTGGAGATGCAAAGGAATTTTTTGATCTTTTGCAAGTTGCTAACACACCACTTTTTGATGGATGTTATGAGGGTGATATAATACTCAAATGGGTGTCTCATTTTATGAATGTAAAGACATTTTATAATATTAGTGTGGCTAACTTGGATTATATGTTAAAGTGCAATAGAAGATGGATTAAACCAAAAGATCAGGATAGGATTCCAAAAGATTTTTATAGTGCTAAAAAGATGATGAGGCACTTCAGTCTAGGTTATAAGAAGTATGATATTTGTGTGAATAACTACTCATATTATGGTGAATATGAAAACAAAAACTATATCGCATGTATAGTATATGGTGAACCTCATTATAAATAGGGACATGTGCAACAAAATCAACATATACCAAGGAAGTCATTGTGGTATCTTCCAATTACACCTAAACTAAAAAGGTTGTACATGTGTTGAAAAACTACTAAGCACATGATATGGCACCTTGTGGTGGTGAATCTAAAAAAATTGTGCATCCTGTCGATGCTGAGGCATGGAAAACTTTGATCGCATTTACCCTAACTTTGGGTTAGATCAAAGGAATGTAAGGTTTGGATTGTGCACAGATGGATTCACTCCATTTGGACATATAGTAGCTCCATATTCATGTTGGCTTGTATTTTTTACTATTTACAACCCACCTCTAACAATGTGTATGAAACCAGAGTCCATCTTTCTCTCTCTAATAATACAAGGCTGTCATAGTCCAAGAAAAAACATTAATGTCATGCTACGCCCACTGATTGATGAATTAAAGAAACTTTGGTGTAATGAGGTCAAGACAAATGATAACTTTAGGTATTAATATTTCATTATGAGAGCAACACTGATGTAGACAATTAGTGACTTCCCTATATATAACATGCTATCTGGATGGAGCACACATGATAGATTCTCATGTTCGTATTGTCAGGAAAATTCTAAGGCATTCCACCTCCAAAACAGTCGGAAGATATCATTTATTTATCATCACCAATAATTTTTACCCTCGATAATCCATTTAGGAAAAATATGAATGATTTTAAAAAAGACCATGTAGAGAATCTTGCTTTACTAGAGAGATTGTTGGGTGATGATATGTATCGAAATATTCAACAACTGCTCGATATATTATTTGGGAAGCCATCTCAAAGGTAGATAATCAAAGGATTTGGTAATTGACATAATTGGGTTAAAAGGAGCATCTTTTGGGAGCTTCTTTATTAGAAGACAAACTTAATCTGTCATAATTTTGATGTAATACACTATAAGAAAAACATTTTTTGATAATATCTTTCACACTGTCATGGATGACCTATTAACGAAGGACAGCTTGAAGGCAAGGATAAATATGGAATTGTATTGCAATAGGCCAAGTCTTTGTATACTAGAAAGAGGCTTTAATGCAGGTAAAAAATTGAAAGCCACTTATGTCCTAAATAGGGAGTAGAGAAAATCGATGTGCCAATGGCTAAAGAATCTTAGATTTTCTGATGGTTTTGCATCCAATATCTCTCTATGTAAATATGTAAGAGGCGAAAGTTAGAGGGATGAAAAGTCATGATTGCCACATATTCATGCAAAGTCTCCTTTCAATCGCATTTTGTGATTTTCTCCCAAAGCAAGTTTGGGAAGCACTTACTAAGATTAGTGAATTTTTTAGAACCTTATGTTCTCCAACCATTCATGTTACAGATATGGAGATTTGGCATGTGAAGATTGTAGAAACAATTTACCAACTTGAAAGAATCTTCCCTCTTTTTTTGTATTCGATTGAGCATCTAGTAATCCACCTTCCATATAAAGCCAAGGTGAGGGAACTAGAACAATTCCGTTGGATGTATCCATTTGAGAGCTTTCTTAGAATACCTACTTTTTTTTAATATTTTATATATAGAATATAAAATTTAATTTTTTTTAATTTATTAATTATTTAAATTTTTTTCATGAATTAGATGTATGCATGGATTGAAGAGTTCAATGAAAATAAAGCTCATCCAAAAGGATCAATATGCGGGAATTACACAATGAGTGAGATCTCATACTTTATCTTGCTTTATTTTGAAGGAGAACTTGAGACGAGATGATCACAACCCTAGGAATCTTGTTAGCCTAGGCCCTTCAATTAATATTGGCCTTTCAATATTCAGTAATTTGGTTCTCTACAACAACAACAAATGTTCACAATGGAGGAGCGTAATGTTACAATGTATTATATATTCTAATGAATTGTAAAGAACTGAAAGGATGGATTAAGTAAATACATTTTCCCAATCTTTATCCTTAACGACATTAGAGAAATTAAATGATTTACTTTAATTTACACATAATTATAATGGATGCTTGATTGGGGTTTTTGTAGAGGAAGAATGTCAAAATATGACTCCCCAACAAATATAGATGAAATGTTTCAATTATCTTGTGTCATAGTTTGAAAAATCGATAAGTTTAATCCTAAATTTTAATTATTGTTAATTAATTATTATATAATTATTTATAACTAATAAAATAACTCATGTGATATAGGTTTTATGTGATGAGTTTGAAGGCATTGATAAGCATTTGATTGGTTTGGCTTATGGCCCTTCTTGGTTGGTTTCATGCTATAAAGGCATTTGGATAAATGGTTTTTGATTCCACACTGCCTCATATGAAATAAACAAGAAAACAATAAATAGCAGTGTGTGTGTCATGGGAACCATTGTTTTGAAAACCAAATCAAATGGTCGGTTGAATTGATACAAACCATTAAATCGTTCAACCGAATGGTTTAAAATTATTGGAAAATTTTCTTTAGATTTGCCACCTCTAGCATTCGAACACAAGACTCAAGGGAGATATTCACTACCTTTTGCCACTAGGACGTCACCTGTAACTTCAACATGATTAGCTCAAAATTTTATTTATTTTATTTTTAGTCAGCTGAATTTCCTTCCCCTCACAAAATTCTTCACCCAATGTAAAGGACGATATCGTTGACATTTTAATGTTAAAATTATTATAGTGTTTATCTAATTTTTATTTTAAATATATAAATTAAAAGTATAATGAAGATAACTTTTTATAAATAA